ATAAATCAATAATTTTATAACACGAGTAACTTCACCTTAAGTTCTAGATATAAATCAATAATTTTATAACACGAGTAACTTCACCTTAAGTTCTAGATATAAATCAATAATTTTATAACACGAGTAACTTCCCCTTGAGTTCTAGATATAAATCAATAATTTTATAACACGAGTAACTTCGCCTTGAGTTCTAGATATAAACCAATAATTTTATAACACGAGTAACTTACCCTTGAGTTCTAGATATAAACCAATAATTTTATAACACGAGTAACTTCCCCTTGAGTTCTAGACATAAACCAATAATTTTATAACACGAGTAACTTCACCTTAAGTTCTAGATATAAACCAATAATTTTATAACACGAGTAACTTCACCTTAAGTTCTAGATATATACCAATAATTTTATATACAAGTAACTTTATGGCGAACAACAATCACTAAGTTACCAGAGTAACCTAGACTGTCCTATATGTATGATGAACAAGAATTAATAATCACCAAATCAATTTAGTGTATAATACATCAAGATACACGGGTAACATAGACAACTGTAGATGTATGGTACATTATAATTACCAGCTTGTTAGAGTAAGCTTAGATCGTCGTAGACATATGGTAAGTAGTGACCACTCAGTAGCAATAATATCCTAAGCCATTTTCTGTAGTCATAAATCATTAAAGGCTTAACTGACTCTTGATGGCTTCAATAACTGTTTGAGATATTTCTAGTAGTCGTCCCTATTTACTTCTCATTATATAGAAGAAAACTTAAACACATATAGTGTACAGTAACCAGAAACTAACAATATAAAATGTTTTTAAATAGCGGACCTTAGGATAATATTTCAGTGTTTTCAATAGAAGAAGCCCTGGTATTTTCTCTGTAATAGTAAAATAGGAAACTTATCCGATTTGAAGTTACTGAAAGCTTTTTATATAATTCTTACATTACATTCAAGCCTACATAACGAATTGAAACTGGGGTAGAATTTTTGTCACGAATCCTAGCTGAATGAGTATCGAAGTGATATATAACCAGCTATAAATCGTTGGTTTTTCTTTTACAACTGTACAAATGGTAACGGTTGGACACTGTTTAACTCTCCGAACTGTCTCAGTCTGGATTTATAAAACACTCTAACTTCGCTACGATTTTCTTAGATATATATATATATATATATATAAGCAGAACTAGTTTTAAAATGGAAGAAGGGAATGAAACTTCTCTAAACAGAATTTGAATGCAAATAATTAAGACGAACTTATACTGGAAATGAATACTGAGTTTTACGATAAAAATAGCAAATAATTTTCAGCTTGGAAAAAACAACAACAAAAAAAAACAGTGGAACTACATTATCAGAAGTTTAAATACAAACCTTTTTGAGTGTTTTTAAATTCACGTGTAAGGCCAATTCGGTTTTGAGTTTGTCAGGTAGGAGGCCAAGTGCTGAATTGATGTCTCCCCCGCCTTGCATGCGCCCTCTATAAATACATAAAATGTCATTAATTATAAAAATATATAAGTAGATTATTTTAAATATTAAAAGCTCACGAGCTAAAATGTAGAACTGCAACATCCTAAATTAGAGTCATGATGTAATTCTTAAAATACAGTAAAAAACGACAAGTAATATACCTAAATCATTTTGGAGTAATAGTCGCGTTATTAATAAAAGTATTATTTTTAATTAGAAAAAGAAGTAAACTAAAAAAAAAAAAACTCTAAATTATACTTCAAAGTGTTGACAAGAGTAGCCTAAATATCTTGTATGATAAATAAGCTCCAGAACAAGGTTGTATTTATCATACTCAACGTCTAGAACCTCATTAAACATTCAGTGAAATAACTATAACCTTGTTCTAGAGTTTATGGTCGTTTCTTCATTATAAAAAATCTTTAAAATGTAGAGAAAATTGTATCGTGTGTTTAGAGGAAGAGTTGCATTGATTTTATGTGTGTTTCAGAAACACAGAGATAAAACAACCGAACCTAATAAGATAAATTAGGTCTAACAAGATTAAATAAGTCTGGTATAACGAAACACTTTTATAGCCTGTGCGTTATTGATATAGTTAGAGAACTAGAAAAAGAATTACGAAGTTTTGGGAAAGTGAAATACTTTAGTAGTCAAGTAGACATTGATTTATTCATAACTATGAATTTGTTTATCTCACCATAGTTTTGTGTACATTCATCCAGTCATGGGTCAACAATCACCGACCTTATCACGATTAGTTGCGTTCTTCTGTCCAATCATAATAGTGTACATTCAATCATCATTATGTGTAAATTTATTAGTTTACGTTTTACAATGACTGCAATACATTTCTCAGTCAGTTATCTTAATGGACTTCTTTGATTAATTATATTTAATATTAGATTAGAACGTAAAGCCTTTGCATTATTACTGGTGCTTGTGTGTTATGCTGAGAAAGATATATTTCTTATTATTGCTGCAAGCTATGTTTTAATATTTTAATTTAGACGTTTGTTTGCTAGAGAAAGCATGCTATTACGTAAAGATAATGACGTAATGATTTGGAAATTCAGTATAGTAAGTAGAAAACGAGAATGATACATGTGTCCTAGTGAATGATGTGGGATGTAATCAGTTTATCAGCCAGCGGTTAAGTTCAGTGTCTGTTAATAATTTAGACAGTGAGAGTTATTGCGTCTATTCAGACATTCAGTGAGATAGCGCGTTTGTTATCGATTAATTAGCGAAGAAATTCGCAGGTTCTTTATGAGTTAGGCGTACATTAGTATCAGAGTTTATGTTGAAAAATTTGTCTGTGAAGTTAGGCCTAATAATGAACATAGCTGTAACAAACCGTTGTTACGTCTCCGTTTGTTAATCGTGTATTGGTAAAGTTATATTCGGAAATAATAAACCAGTTTTATTAAGAAAGGACTTGTGTCGCTTAAGTTTCGTCGGAACGAAGTTACGGAAAGTTGTAATGTGTGTATAGACAGTGAGTAATTGAACTGCAGTCAGAGAGCACGAGAGACGTTACAGCGTTTGTTTAGCGCGATTGTTGAAGTTGAAATATCTCTTCCCGCGTCACGTTTTCCCCTTCTTATATATACCAGCCTACCCTATCTAGTAAATACTAGAGCATTCGCCAAAGTACATGATAGTTCCAGAAACGTTGCGTCACAGTAGTCATGTGACTCGCTGACGCAACAAAATAGTAAACCCAGTCACACATCTACTAACAAAAACAATTACAGAAACAGAAGTTCAACAAGCCATTCAAACCACCAAAAACAAGGCACCAGGCGAAGACGGTATACAGGCCATCCTCCTCAAGAAAGGCCCTCGGAGATTGTATGGACACCTTACAGCACTCTTTAATTTATCACTAAGATCTGGATATATCCTGGTTTCTTGGAAGCAAGCGATAGTACTCATGTTCCACAAAGAAGGAAAGCCAGCAAATAAACCAAACAACTACCGCCCGATCAGCCTGACCAGCT